AACTGCACCTACTAGCCTAGCATCTTTCTTTTTCTTTCTTTCTTCCTTCCTCCTTCCTTTCTTTTCTTTCTCTCTCTCCTTTCATCCTCTCTTTCTTTCTCTCTCTCTCCTCTCTCTCTCTTTTTCTTTCTTTCTGCAAGACAGGACCTCAATGAGTTGCCCAGGCTGGCCTTGAGTCTAATCAGTCTTTAAACCAACCATTCTTTTATTTCAACCTCTCTTGTAGCTGTAATCCCAGGTACAAGAGAGGTGGCAAGCCACAGGCTAGTGAGCCATTAGAGGCTGATTTAAATTTTGTATTTTTCAGGGTTTTTTTTTGTTTTATTCTTTTTTAAGATTTATTTTTATGTATATTGGTGTTTTGCGTGCATTTATGTTTGTGCAAGGGTGCCAAGTTCTGCCCCCCAACTGGAGTCACAGACAGTTGTGAGCTGCCATGTGAGTGGTGGGACTTGAACCTGGGTTTTCTGGAAGAGCAGCCAGTACTCGTAACCAGTGAGCCATCTTTCCAGCCCCTGGTGTGTAGCCCAGGCTGTCCTCAAACTTGTGATCCTCCTGCCTCTGCCTCCTTCAGCAAATCCTATTGGCAAGCACTTCTTGAATCCAGATCTCACTACATAGTGTGGGTGGCCTCAGATTTTTAGTGTTCCTCCTGACTCTACTTCCTGAAAGGGAAGATTACAGGTATGCCCCCCACCACACCCAGCATGGCTACATTATTTTTTTTTATATAAAATCAAAGTTTTCACTTGTACATTCACTAAAAAACTATTTTATGGGCTAGAGAGATGGCTCAGAGGTTAAGAGCACTGGCTGCTCTTCTAGAGGTCCTGAATTCAATTCCTCACAACCATCTGAAATGAAATCTGGTGCCCTCTTCTGGCATGCAGGTGTATATGCAAACACACATTGTATACATAATAAATAAATAAATAGATCTTTAAAAAAAAACTATTTTATGCTACAACACTTTGATGAAAAGTAAAGACAAAGGACTTCCAATTACATTATTTCCCCCCTTGTTGGGGGGGGGGGGTGTAAGTCTACTATTGAGGATCCTTAGCCATTTGTATCATCTGCTACCAACATTGAGTCATAACTCAAGAACTGATTCTACAGATATATTGCTAACCAATAGTCACCTGTGTTACAATGCCTATACCATTCCTCTTACTTCATCTCTTCACATAGTCATTGTATCATCTCAAGTCACCATAGAAAGGGGTGAGAACAAAAGAGATCATTCGAAAATGAGAACACATTCATGTAATTTTGTTACAATTAGTCTCATAACTGAAATATAAGTTATTAGTGGGACTAATCTCTTCTTGTGCTGAATTTACAAACTTTCATCATACATATAAATAAAAAATATATGCAGAATTCTATGCTATGTACAATTTTGAGCATCCACAGGTCTTAAAACATATTCTGTGCAAATACAGAGACACTACTGTATCCTGTTGTTCTAAATTGGTTTCTAGTAGGGTGATCAGAGGAGCCTGCCTTGTGTGAAGAATACAAGGTTTTTAGTATTTTGTTTTTGAGATAGGGTTTCTGTTGGTATTGGTTTTTTGTTGTTTTTTTTTTTTTAATGTATACACCTTACCCTTGTTCATTTAAATAAATACTGATTTCTCCCCACCCCCACCCCCAACTCTCTGGTTTCAATCTGGATATTGCATTGTGATACTCATTCTAAGCATCCTGTTTCAACTCTTGTGTAAACAGGACAAAATAAAACAACTAGACACAATGTTGAGCAGGGAGGAGCCAGAGGACAGGAAAGAGGGGAGGAGCCAGAAGGCAGGAGATGAGTGGGAGGAGAAGGAGAGAGAGGAGAGCTAGGAGAGCAGAGCTGGAGGAGAGATCTTGGAGGATGTGGAGCATGAACCAGACCTAAGATTTCACAAAAAGCAAGTATAATGTGGGAAATCTAAATGTTAGGAAACTGAGGGCTTGGACGTTTAGGAGGGAGTAAATATTGCCCAGCATTGTGTTCTAGGTTAACTAAAACCCAGGCTCTGTGTGGTGATTTGGTTATACAGCTGCTGAGGATTAAAGCAGCATTACCAGAAGATAAACCAATAGTAAATATTAATAACTTCTTACAACAGGTTTCTCCATATAGTCTCGGCTGTCCTGAAAATCCATCTGTCAACCAGCCTGGCTTCAAACTCACAGAGATCTGCCTGCTTCTTTCTGCCTTCTGAATGCTGGGATTAAAGGTGTGTGTCACCATGACCCTGCTAAGGCTTTGAGTCTTAGCCTGCAACCATAGACACATTTGTACTTCCTTGGTTTTCCCACAAAGCAGATACCCTGAATTGTAGCCTGGGGGGGGGGGGGATATGCCTCAAAGAGGGGCTTAAGGATTGGACTGCTGTGCTTCATGAGGTACACCTGGTAAAGGATGGTGCTCTAACTTGAGAATGGTCCTGGAAGGGAAGCATCCCCAATAAAGAGGAATGTCACAGCTGAGAGGAGAGATCCTAGTTGGGACATGTCCCAGCTTTGTGGGGAATAAAGGAAAGATGTCTACAAGTTTGAGAGGGTACACAATTGGGAGGAAAGTAATCTCTTAAATAGGTTGTGTGTGCCCACAAGAGGGGGCTATTTCTACAGGGAAGAACTTCCCAGCTGGCAAGCCCCTCCTCCCTCTCCCCACTAATGAGGATACAAAGGGATGCTCAGGTAGGAGGGTATTTCTGGCTGGGACTTGTGCACTAATAAGATCATCCCTACTGTGGAGGTTCCCATATGAGATGCTGACCCCAGTTAGCATGGAGTGCTCCAGTTAGGAGGTGTGCTCTTCCTGGTTAATCCAAGCTCTGCTAGGCACAAGCTTCCTGTGTACAAGGCAAAGCCTTTCCTGAAGACCAAGTAACCCTCACTAGACTGAAAACCTAGAGTCACAACTATCTTTGGCCACCTGATATCTAGAAACAATTCCATTTTTCCCATATGAGACTTTAAAACTACTTACAGAGGAGGAAATGGGCAGTCCCCATAGGGTCCAAGGATTCTTTGGAACAGCTGAACTGCTGTTAAGGCTATGTATGATGGAGTAGCAAACTGAGCCTTTCTGAGGATCAGGGAAAACACTCAGTCTTCTGTAACCCATAGTCCAGACAAAGCCACCTTCCCCAACCCACCTCTCCATCTCACCTGCTAAGATGGAGCCTCCTCTAGCTCTTTGCTGACACCTCTTGTTTCAGTTCACTGCATAGCTTGCTTCTTTCATAGCCTTTGTGCCTTAAATAACTGCCTCAGAAAAGTCTTCCCTTTTCTCCTACTCATTTCTCATCTCTGCAGCCCCACTCTATGTTCTCTCTTACTTATTTTAGGTGTTTTGTTTTTAAAAAGGGTCTCATCATGTAGAGCAGGCTGGCCTCAAACTCAGAGATTTACCTGCCTCTGCCTCCAAGTGCTGTACTTAATTAAAAGGTGTGCAACTCCATGCCAGGCTTCTCATATTTTTATGTGATATAACGTGAATAACCAATGTTTTCTGTGTCCTACAGCCTACAACAACACCCTCTGACATAAACAGAATACAAAAAAAAATTTTTTTTAAGATGTTGAAACATGAGGAAATCTTTTTACCAGGTAAATATGATATGACTGAAACTGTTAGAAGGCTATAGGCAATTTGAATTCAGCTACAGTCATGCCACAACTTAGTAACCACTGACTACCTACTTAGCTACTCTTGCTCTAAGCAGGTGAAAAGTGTGTCCATACTGACATCAGTTCTGAGAAACAAGCCTGTTTTGCATTCCCATTTTATGAGTGAACCAAAGTAAGGGGGTTGAATTTATGCAGCCAGCCTGAGACAAGGTGGGATCAAACCCCAGCTTTTATTTCAACTGTAGGCTGCACTGCTTCCAGGAGGTGTGTAGAAGCCTTTCTCCAAAACCCATCTGACCCACAAAATCAAATGTTAGCCAGGTATGTGACCACCAGTGAAAGAACATGTTGCAAGGAGTAGACGGTGATGTGTTTCAAAAGATACCAGGGCTACTTGTAGCCCTCTAAAATGGGGTGCAGACCTAGTTGGTTAGGTGATGTGAAAACTAGACAGCCACCTAGGGCTGAGTGGAAACACAACTTGGAGATACTGGTTGTGCACTGCCAGGATTCTGCTCTCTAGAGCACTTTGTTCCCTAAAAGGCTGTGAACTGGTTTGATTACATAGGCAAGGTGACCACCATACCTGGCAAAGTGGCTCTCCCCCATCAGAGATGGAATTTAATTCTCTCCAAAGTAACCACTCCAGTGCAAACATTACATGTGAAGGACAACAGGCCAGTGCTTGTTACCAGAGTTGCCATGGAGACTAAGATGACTGGAGGGTGCCTCTAAAATGCTGCTCCAGGGAACTGTTTGTTGTCTTGTCCTAAGGCCCTATATCACAGTTCCAATGTCTTGTGTGTACAATGGTAAATAAGGAAAAGCACAATGCTCAGAGTTGACAGTGATCTCATGCCCAAGGGTTGAGGGTTCTACCGCAAGCAAGTTCCTGGCAAGTCCTCTCTGCATGAATATTTTTGGTGGCCAGGCATCCAAGCATGCCACCTAGAAAAATGGTTTGGAATGCAAACAAGAGTGTGTCTCAAAGAACACCAGGAACATCCTTAAACAGATGGGGAGATATTAAAAAAATAAAAAATTCAAAAAATAAAGAGGACAGGAGTGGCCAACACAGAACTATCCAGATTGCAACCTCATAGACTATAGAGAAACCCAGAGGTGGGGGTGTCACTGAGGTGAGGAATACACTTGTAGAGTTTAAGATAGGATTGGACAGGGCCAAGTCACAAGCTCAAAGGATGCACCTTGAAGGATGTGGTAATGGGAGGAGGTCTGGTGGAGGGAGCTGTCTTTCAGAGATGGGGTCAAAGGAGGAGCTTGCAGTGCTAGTCTTCAGGGCAGAGCCTGTATACTGGGGATACTCCGAGGCTAGGCTGTAGAAGGTAAAGGCCAGCTTCTTGCCCAGCTCTACAAATAAAGCACTTTATTTATACAATCTCTTCAGGGCCCCTATCTCTGCCACCCTACCCCAGCCTCTCAAGAAGAGGACTAATTAATTCCAGAGGAGCCAGAAGAGGGTAGTCCACAAGGGGTCGGGTCATCCCGACAGCTGCAGGTCCTGAGTAGCTGGGTCAGGTAGAGAGCAAAGGCACGAGGCCCTGGGCCTTCCATTCCAGGGCAAAGGCCAAGCCCACCAAACAAGGTGGCATAAAGTTAGCTCACCAGGGTCAGCTCCCTGGGATCAGGCCACGGTCTGCACTACCAGCACCACAGCTCTGCTCGTAGGATGGTGGAGCCTCTGTGGAGAGAAAGCAGGATCTAAAAGATGCTCAAGGCATCCTTATTTCCTTACCCAGTCCCTGACATTTTTACTCACCATAGGGGTAGCCCCATGAACTGTACTCTGGGGGGAGGATCAAGGCACTGGTGGTGGGTACTGGGCCTCCGGAGCCTTCTGCAAAGTAGGGGACAGTGGCACCTATGGAGATACACAAGGGCGGGTGCAGAGAATGCCTAGCAGGGCTTCCAACCTGACTACAGGGCTCAATGGTAGTGACAGACATGGAACCCAAGGCAGCAGACAGTGGCTGCTGCTGAGAATGGCTCTTGGTAGAAAGGGAAACTGCATCCGAGAAGCGGGGGCCACTAGCCGCTGCCTCAGCCTCTTCCTGGGGTGGTGCAGAGGGTACCACTGAGGACAAGGCCCCAGGAGAAGACCCTGTGCCTGGACAGGGGCTCAGTGGGGTTTGGTTCACAGCAATATTGCCAACAAAGACTGGGAGAGTCACAGTGGCTTCAGGTGCCTTCATGGAGACCTGGAAAAAATGTAGGTATTGAGGAGTCTGGCCAAGGCCACCTAACCTCAGGCCACCCAGCCCTGGGCAACACCAAACCTGAAGGTAATAGTCGATGTGGATAAGGCTGCAGCCAGGCAGGGCCGACTGGGGCAGGGCAGGCACCAGGATCTGTTCTTGCCACTGAGCACACCTCCAGGCCTTGACACCTGTACCCTCCACCTCTGCAATGGTTCTCACATCATAGATCCATCGCTTGGCCTTATAAGATACCTTCTAAGGAAAGACCAGACTGTGGGCGTGGGTAGGCCAGCACCTACTCCCTTTGTCCCATGGGAAGGAGACAGGTTCAGGGAGACAGAGGGCTCTGACCTGTAGCAAGCTGGCCACCACAGGGCTGGTATCCTTGCCTGACTGGTTCTCAATGTCAGCCTGCAGCCGCAGCACCTGTCCCACTACATAGCCACGAAGGTCAGTGCTAGCTGTGAGAACCACACTGCCAGTCTTCAACAGCTTATAGGAGAACTTCTTCGTAGTGGAGGCCACATTAGGTTGCTTGAAGGAAAAAAAAAGGGAGGAGTTTAGCAAGTGAGCACAAAATGAATTCCTGTGGTACCAGACAGGCCCCTTAGCCTTCCCTAGATACCAGCAACCAGCTTAAGGCAGAGCCTGGATGCCTGGAACAAGAGGTTGAAGGCAACCAAGAAAGCCCCTACTCCATTCTCACCTCAATTTCTGGGATGCTGTTCAGGTTTAAGGGGCTCAGGATATAGAACACGAGGCTACATCTGTGATCCTTAGAAAAACGTGGAGTGTCGATGAACGCCCTCACCTGGTGCACAATCTTCCCGAAGGGACCCTCAAAAGATGTGGGTGCTGTCGCTATGGAGAGAGAGAACAGGAACTGGCTGGCACCCAACACCTCCCACCTGTAGGTCCCACCATTCTAAGACTGCTGTCCCCACAAGCTTTCCACTCACCAGGAAGCAGGAACTGAAAAGGGAAGTTGTGTTCTCCAGCCGGCAGACTTCCTACAGAGACAAGAAGGAGGTGGGAGCAAACAGGAGGAGATCCACAGTGGCCAAAGTGCCAGAGTAGATGTAGGCACTGCAGCCCACCAGTTCACACTACCTTTCTCCAGCATTAAAGCAGTGTGACCAGAGAAGGAGCTAAAGGCTACATACAAGGGCATGGTGTAAATGAGAGTGTGTGGCTAGAAATATGGTTGGTAGAGTGTTTGCCTAACATATACAAAACTTTGGTTCAATTCCAAGGACTATGGAAACCACATTCGATAGCACACCCTTTGGGAGATGGAAGCAGGAGAATCCAAAGTTTAAAGGGATTCCTTAGGCAACACAGGAAGTTGAAGTCCAGCCTGGGCTACATGAGCCCCTGTCTCAAAATGAATAAATACAAATTTAAAAATAAAATAAAAACACAGGAGGGTGGTTGAGGATAAAGAATGGGGTAAAAGAATCATACTAAAGGTCAGAGCCCACCCAGCCCCAGAACCAGAAAGCAGGATAAAGTGGGAATCCAAGAAACAGTTGCTGGGAAGGGAAGGGACAGACTGAGCCCACTCCAGACAAGGGCTGCCCCTGTGATCACTGCTGGCTCCCACACTCACCCTTGTCAGCCAGTGACAAAGAGCTGTTGAAGTAGCTTTCCTCCACCACCCATGCCCCATCGTTGGCCTTGTTGGAGACCCCACAGGAACCCATGCAGGTCACCCGGATAGCTGTAAGGGGAAGGGTGGCATAAGCCTAAGCCAGCTGATGGCATAGGCTCCTTCCTGTCCCCAGAACAGGAATTTCTGTAGGGCTGGAAGTATCCATGGGTCAAGCAGCCACCCTGTCATCTTCCCAAGAATACTTCCTGGCCATCCCCAGTCTGGGGGTTCTCCCAGGAAACCAGGCTGGCAAGGAAACTGATAGGCAGTGCTTCATCTGCCCTACAGACACAGTGGGAGGCCTATAATCCCCTAGACAACCCCTGGGCTACCCTCAAATTGGTTACTTCAGATTCTAGCAAGAACTATAAAAACCCCAGCCACCCTTTTTTCCTGATGTAAATCAGTTAGGCCAAGAGCTGCCCCTTCAGTCTCTTGAAAGCTAATGCCAGCCTTCCTACTGTGGGAATGCAGTCAGACCTGCCTGAACGAGTCAGCAGTCTAGCACTGGAGGCCAGCCCTGACTTCCCTCCTGAGCAGGAGTGCCCAGGAGGCTGACTTTCTACACCATGAGGTAGCTAGTCCTCCCCCACCAGTGAGAGGGCCCAAACAGGAACCACTAGAGACAGATCTCACATTCCTATGTTTAACAGACACAGTTGGGCCCACTGTGATTAGGTAGTCAGAGCTGAAAGAAGAGGCATAACTGAAACTGGTCACAAGGGAGGTGGCTCAGGCAAGGTGGTAGGTGAAAGCCAATGAGAGGCACCCTGAAGTAATACCCTTTTGCCTGCAGAGTTGGATCATGCTTTCAGCTCTTTTCCCAGACTTACTTGACTGGGTCACAGGAGGGGAAGATTATTCAGACTCTTTCATCATTGTGACAAAGCCACCAAGCATGAGGAACAAAGATATCCAAGTACCTAGATGTTGGGTCACACCTGCCTCATTTATAGTCTCCCTATAGCATAGTCCAGGCATCCTTTTGGTCACCCACAGAACACTTAGCTTTAGCCTATAACCTTTGGCTCATCCTCAATCCAGGTAGCTCTCCACAGGTGCACTCCCTCACCTGATGGCTGCCAACACCTGTTCCCACTCTTGAGGCAGTCCTGCTTTCTTGCTGTTCTACTCCCTGCCCCTTGAAAGTGTCAATGACTGTCCTGCATCCTCCGTGTCAACCCAAATCCATCATCATGCTAACCTCCAATCTGGTTTGAAATCTACACACTCCTTCTGCCATGGCCTCTGAATCAAACCAACTATTCCCAACCTGGAATCTGTTCATCTCCCTAAGGATGATTGCCTCACACTAGACACAAAAAGAAGTATGGAGGTCTTGGTTTAGTCCAGATGCCCCCAGAGTGTTATCAGGGTGCCTACAGTGAACAGCACAGAGCTATTCAAATTCTTCATACTCAACGTATGAGCAATAACAAACTGTTTGCTTTAGCTGTTTAGTTTAAGGTAGTTTGTTATTTGAATGACCTAATACCCAGCCACACTAGAAATCAGGGAAATCCCAGGTGACTTACATATTTACTCATCAGAATGACAACTATTAGGTACTTTGACACATGTTGGGGAGGGGATGGAAAAGCATACACTCTGTATACTTCCAACCATAGACTGACACAGGGCCAGCTTTTTGTATTTGTACCCATATATGCCAGGGCACCCATCAGCTCTCAAATCCTACACTATTTCATCAGGAGTCTCTCCTAGCACTGCTTATAACAACAATCAAGCATCCAGTCTGGACTTCCTACAGTTCAGGCAAAGGAGCAGGAGACTGCCACCAGATTACAGAAAAACAAGCAACATCCAAATTGAGAGTAGAGGGTCCACACTACTCAGACCCTGATCTTCCCAATATCAGGGATTTTCCCACACAATAGGGCTCTCGGGAGTACACTGACAGTGTGAACAGCCTCTAGCCACTAAGGTAGACACATCCTGTGCCACTTACTCTCTCATTAGAAATGGTGCCTGTTGTCTCCCCCAAATACCTGAAGCTGTTCCTTTGCCTCAGTAGGCTCACAATCAAGGTATAATGAACACCCCTCCCACCAAAATTCCTCAAAGATCCCATGTTTCTTGCCAAAGGCAGTGCCAGCAGCCAGGTATTCACCTTCTCAGATCCCTGGAGCAGGAAAACTATATAATATGTAAACACATAAATCTTGAGAAACGAGGGAGTTCTGAGAATACAAAGTGGTTTTTGCTGCTGCTGCTGTTGCAAGACACTGGACACAGCTTTCTTTATCAGTCTGGACACACCTGTGATGGCACGACTAGGCAGGCTGGAGGCAATCACCTGACGAGAGATTCTGATTTCTGTCATTTTCTGGCTTTAATAATGATCCTGCTGCTTTTCAGTAATATCCCTACAGTCCTGTCCCTCCACTCTCATGCAAAGGTATCTGCTCTGGGAGGTAGCTAAGGGCCTCTTACCAGCTTATATCCAGCAGCATAGCCAGAAAACCAGGGCAAGTGTATTCTAGCAAGTCCTCTGCTACAGAGCATCAAGTGACAGCCTACAGAACAATATATACTCCAAGGTGCCATCCGAGTATAAAAAGTACTTCCTAGCAATGTGGGACCACAAAACTGTCAGATGCTCACCACTGTAGATTGGAGGCTGCTTTTTTTCTTTTCTTTCTTTTTTTGGGGGGTGGTGGTTTGTGACAGGGTTTCTCTGTGTAGCATTTGCTATCCTGGAAGTAGCTCTGTAGACCAGGCTGGCCTCAAACTCAGAGATCTGCCTGCCTCTGCCTCCCAAAGTGCTGAAATTAAAAGCATGTACAGTCACCTCCACCTGGTGGCAGCTCTGGTTTTCTAAAGAAAATCACGGTGTGTGTTTTGTTCCACAGAGACTTCTGGAACTTTCTGCCCTCATGGGTGCTTCCACCTGTCCAGTAACTTCCTATCATGCACCATGACAATGAAGACCTTTCCATTTTTCTGGTCCCAAAGATCTTTAACCTGACCATCCCTACCAGTTACCACATTCTACATTAAGTCTGTCCTGCTCCTGCTTCCAGTTGTACCACAAGAGTAACAAGAGCAGCTCTCTCCTGAGGTCCTGTGAAGACATAGCTGGTCTATGACAAACAAGGGATGGACAGAGCGTAGGAGTTAAGCGCACTTGTTGCTCTTGCAGAAGACCCAAGTTCCATTTCCAGAACCCATATGGTGGCACACAACCATCTTTAAACTTCAGTCAAGGGCATTCAATACCCTCCCTAAACTCTGGGGGCACACAAACAAGTAGTGCACAGACCCACATGCAGACAAAACATGTACACATATAAAATTAAATGAATAAATCTAAATTTAGAAAAAAATAGGGAGACCTAGGAGTGGTGTTGCATACATGCAATACCAACACCAAAATCCTAAATCAGGAGGATTGCAAGTTTGAGGTTAGTCTGGGCAGCATAGAAAGATGCTGTGTGTAAAAAATAATAAGAGAAAAAAAAAAGAGGAGGGTTGAAAACACAGCTCAATGGTGAACACATAGAGGAGGGTTGAAAACACAGCTCAATGGTGAACACATATCAAGCATGCAAGAGGCTCTAAGTTAAATTCCCAGCATCTGAAAAACAAAATCAAGTAGAAAGACCTCCATCTAATCCAAAATGAGGTATAGTGAGGAAAAAAAAAAAAAAAAGACAGTGGGCCCTGCTGTTCTCCTGGGTCTAGAATACTACTCATTCCTTAGCTTTGTTCCACATCAACTCTGAGACAGCTAATATCCTCATGGATGGGTGCTAACCATTGTCAATCATTAGACAAGTCTTCAACAAGCAAGATGAAAATCCCAAGGTAGTACTCTTTGAGAATACAGGGGTGGAGCTCCTCTACTGGGCCTAGAAGACACTCAATATATATAAGAACCATGGTTATTTCCATCCCAAGCAGGCCTGAGGGAAGTTCCAGAACGGTCTATACAAGCACATGCCCATGTGCACGCACACACCAATCTCAACTGTCAGCAATGTAAATAACCCAGCCCCAGTAAATGATCCTGGGCACTTTTGCAATTAGGACCATCACCTGGGGCTCTCTTGGCCTCTGTAAGGTCAGCTGTCCATTTACTCACTACTTAATCTGCTACAAGAAGACCAGGAGATAGCTCATACTTACACTGTAGTTGGCAATAGCTGTTCAGCCCAAGTCTAGTCATTAGAAAATGGTAGAAAAGGAAAACTGAATGGCTATCTCTAAATAAGACCTCTCTTCTCTCTGTTGTATCCCCCATAAGCCTGTAGCCTGTACCAAGTTCCCCTCAACCAATGTGGAGTTTTCTTTACACTTCTCATACCTTTCTTGGGTCCAGGAGGAGCTGACCAATCACTGCTATAGTCTCTACAAAATCAACGTCTGCTTTTATTAGACCACAAACTCGAAATAGAGATAGGTAATGTGAGCATGACCAGAAGCCTCAAGAGGATCAGGGCCTGACAGGTACCTACAACCCAGCTTCCTTCTAGACCTGGACAGCAACACCAGTTCCAGGTCCAGGGTTTCAACTGGGACCTAGAATGGCTGAAGAGGATAGCTATCCATCCTCAGAAGATACCAGAAGTGTGTGTGGGCAATTGTGGCTTTGGCCAAGCAACCAGGCAGCTCTCAAACGAGGCTAAAGTAAAAGAGCAGGAACACCTGTATAATCTTGCAATCAGTCCAGCGGCTAGAAGGAGGCCACAAGAGTACCCACCTGACCCTAAGAGCTCCCACACAAGGCCCTGTTTGAATATCCTATAGAGAGGAGGCTGCAGGTGAGTGTCGGCTAAAGACAAAGCAGCAACTGATCCCTAGCCTCAGAGTCTCAGATCTACGCAGCAACAGTTCAGCTCCCACAATGCCTTAGGACAGGAGTGAAGGGATTGCCTGGAGAAACAGGCCCTCTTGCCAGCAAAGACAAGCTTTTAAGGGAATGTTAAACAAGCACTAAGGTGAAAGCAAGAAGGTCCCCTGTTGATCCTCCTGAGGACCTGCACACTTGGATCAGGACTGTCTTTAAAGAGGAAGGTCCTGCATAGGAGGCTGGAGGCGAGTAAGAGAGAGGACCCAGAGCATAGGCTCCAGGTAGGGGCCCAGCAGGTGCCCAGCGGACCTTAGACACCTGAACAGGGGAAGACTGTAGGCCTTCATTCTTCTACCGCTAGGCTCGCCTAGACATAGTTAACAAGCGCTTAGGCCCTGGCACAGACTCTGGCCGCCCCTAGGCGGAGAGCGCAGGATGGGACAGATGCGGAAGGACTGGGCCACTGAGCTGCCTGCCCCGCCCTGGCCTCCGCGGGCCTCCCAGAACAGCCTGCCGCCGGCGCCGCAGTTTCACAGTAACTCGGAGCTCCCGGGAGACTGAAAACCCAATCTCAGAGCCCACTGACCACATGGCTTTCCAGAGCCCCGCCCCACCGCAGGTGAGAACGCGTCTACCCGCTCCCCCGAGGCGACCCCGCGCCCACCTCGGAAGGGGAGTGACGCTCCGAGGCGCAAGCGCACGGCCCCAGCCAGCGGTTCCCCAGGACTGTAGACGACGCGGCCCTGGCTCAGGCGAATCTCGAAGAGCTGCACCCTCCCCATACCGCGGTCTCCCGCGCCGCGGTCTGACGCCTGTTAGGGCAGCGGCCGAGGCCCGCCCCCTTCCTCTGTCGGGAGGACAGAGGACACGCCCAGGCCGCAGGACTCGCCTAGGCCGGAATACTAGTTGGTGGCCCCCTCCAAGACCCACCCTCTGCCCAAGAACCCTCCCCTTTCCGAACCAAGGCCTGTCTTCTCCAGGGCTGGTCCTCGACCTGAGGACACGCCCATGGCTGAGGACAAGGACCCTCCCATTTCCTTAGACTTGCTTTTCAGCAACGCAAGCACCTGCTCACAACAGCCCAGTCCAGGTCCTACCCTATTCTGAAGTCCCGTCTAGACCAGCGGGGTGGGCTAGGGAGTGTGCGGCCATAGGGGCCATATGCTTTAGCCCCAGACCTTCACGAGATCCTTGAGACCTCTGCTGCCCAGATCTGCCTGTTGGTGAGGGCTGGTTTTCAACGCTAGTTGGTCACTAGAGGAATTCAGGCAGTATGGGTTCCCAGCTATGCTTCGCGGCCATTCTGCTCTGTGCACTGTAATCTGGGGTGTGAGGAGTTGCAGCCCAGAAGACTGGAGTCGGGCAGCGGGAATTCGGGACCGAAGCAAGAGACCCCTGCAGGACTTGGGGCGTGGAGCGAGGCTGCTGAGACGGAGCAGGAGGAACCGATCTGAATCACATCTCACCCCAAAAACAGGTTTTTTTCTCTGTATCCGTGGAACTCGCTTTGTAGACCAGGCTGGCCTCCAACTTAGAAATCTGCCTGCCTCTACCTTCCGAGTACCCCTGGGATAAAGTGAGCACCGCCGCTGCCCGGCCTGAATCACATTTTTTTTTAAAAGCCTTGATGTTGGTTGTGAACTGGAGGAAGTGTCTTAAATTTATATGTTCACAATTCACTATTCTATCTTACTATAGTGCAAAAAAAAAAAATTTGAAGGAAAGGGTTATTTTGCCGGGGGGAGGGTGTTTTGGTTTGTTTTGTTTTTTTGAGACAGGGTTTCTCTCTGTAGCCTTGGCTGTAGTAGATCAGGGCTGGCCTCAAACTCCTAGTGATCCATGCCTGCCTCTGCCTCCCTGAGTGCTGGGATTAAAGGTGTGTGCCACTGTGCCTGGTGAGAAAAACAATTTAAGCAATACCATTTCCTCAGTTTGGTACTGTATTAAATAAATTATATGAGGTATTCAGTACTGTCTTACAAGATGATCATTGCTCCATTGATCTATGAACTCTGAGATTCTGTACTGGAAGAAAAAAAACTTTCTAGTTGTGGTGTGGCTCAGCCCAAGAACACACCTTTAATACAAGAGGTTTTTGTTTATTGTAAACAGGTGGGTGTGGTATGGTGTGACTCAGCCCTAACACATACTTTTAACCCAAGAGCTTTCTGTTTATTATAAACAAGTAATTATGGTGGAGCTCAGCCCTAGAACATACACACACACCCTTTTTTTATTGGTGTTTTGTCTGTATGATCCTAGAGTTATGGTGTGTAAGCTGCTATATGGATGCTAGGAATTGAACCCTGGTCCACTATAAAAGCAGTCAGCATTCTTAGCCACTGAGCCATTTCTCTAGCCCCACTCCAGCCCGAGCACACATCTTTAACCCAAGAGCTTTTGATATACAAGAGCTAAATAAAGCCAACCATATAGGTCAAGAGGCAACTAGTTGACAGGGAGTGAACATAAGTAAACACAGGAAGGAGGGACATTGAGGGAAAGGGCCTTTTCCTCTTGGGACATTGGTGGAGTAGGAAGGTCAACTGGGTGTTTCTCTGCCTGTCTGAGCTAGCATCTGGCTCAGATTAACCCCAGCATCTGGCTCTTGAGTTTTTGTTGGTAAAATGGACCAATTGGGATTTTCTTTTATCTACAATAAACTTTCTCCACCATACATAGGAGATTTTATTTTATTTCTTTTCTTCATTTATCTGGTGCCAAAACCTGGGACGACCAATCATATGCCTTTCCTTTTTCTTTCTATTTTTTTCTTTCATCTGGTGTTGAAATCTGGAAGTGGCAGTTTCTCCAAGAAACTCATCCACTCCGAACCAAGCTGCTGATCTGACTCTCCTCCACCATACCTAGGAGCAGTCATTATTCATTTTTCTTGTTTTCATTCATTTTTCTGCATCATTAGGATGCAGAGGCAGGCTCCCTTGTCAACTTTTAGGCCTGCCAGGGCTACATAGTGAGACTCTATCTCAAAGAAAGAAAGCAAAGAGGGAAGAAAGAAGAGGGAGTCCTGAACTCCTCAGAATTCCTACATTTCAGGAGGAAGTTCTATCAGCCACAGTACTGTAGTACCTACACAACTAGGCAAACTGGAAGTCTCCTAAATAAGGACTTTGGGATGTTAGTTGGAAAGAGGACAATGAGCAGCTTCATGGTGACAAACTGACCAAATAGGAAAGTGGTTCAATAAAGAGATGGTCTGCTTTGAAGACTGCTGAGTTAGAACAAGACACACCTGCATGGATTTAGGCCTCCTAAATAGCTATATAACCTTTATTCTGATCCCTATTAACCTATATCCTTTTTTGGATCCATTTCAGCACAATTGCCTGTCTTCAGTCTCTTCTCTGCTTCCATCAAGAGTCTTTCAAATGTAGATATTTCCTTATTCAGCTGCTGTAACACTCCCTCTGGTCCCCAGGCATTTGTGCCCCAGCCAGAAGAGTTTGGTGCCCATGGCTCCTCAGAGGCAGTACCACCACAGGAACACAAGGAAAGTACCAAGACTTGTCAGGAGTGAGGAACATGTGCTTTTGTGTTTTCCACATAGAATGAAAAATGATCAGAGGAGGAGAGGCATGCTTAAGACTCCATGGCTGTGATTTTTAATTTGATAGTCAACTTGGCTACATCTAATCAACTAAATCAAGTAAAAGGCAAACATCTAGGCACTCCTGTAAGGGCTTTTTTGATCAGATTTGAAGTGGAAAGACTCAACCTAAATGTGAGTGACATCTAGTAGTGGCCCAAGTAAAAGGAGACAGAAGGAAACATTGCCTGTTTGCCTTCACTCTTGCTGGAAGTTCATCTCTCTGTCATTGCTGTATTACATCACCGACAAATTAGAGCACCAATGCTGACTGAAGACCAACAGCTCTCCAGGAATCCCTAGGCCTTCAGGACCAAATTGGAACTGCTGAGACATCCAGCATTTTGGACTGAGAAATTGCTGGATTTTTGGCCTCTCCAGTGTGAGTCTGCCATTGTGGGACTACCCAGATTATATCATGTAAACCAAACTAAACCCACACACTTTTTGGGGGAAAGGGAACAATCTCATTATGTAGCCCTGTCTGGCCTGGAACTTCCTATACAGAACAAAACTGCCTTTGTCTGCCAAGTGCTGAGATTAAAGGCATGTGCACTACCACACCTCCATACCTCTCCTGAGATAGGGCTTGTCTGTATAACCCTGGCTGTCCTAGAACTCACTCTGTAGACCAGTCTAAGCTTGAACTCAAAGAGCTGCTTGCCTCTGCCTCCCAGTGCTGAGATTAAAGGCATTCTCCACCATAGCCATTTTAAGAGATTTAAAATTGTGTGTATATATGAGTCTCTATGTGTGGGTATGTTCACATGTGAGGTACTCATGAAAGCCATGTGCTGGATTTCCTGGAGCTGTTATCACAGACTATTGTGAGCTACCACGTATGTGCTAAGAACTGAAAAAGCAGCACGTGTTCTTAATCACTAAGCCATCTCTCCACTGACCCCTTTTGTTTGAATGTATGTGTACTCTGAGGCCAAAAGAGGGTGTCTAATTCCCCGGAGCTAGTTGTTTTCCTCCTCCTGACATGGGTGCTAGGAAATAAATTTGGGTCCTCTGTAAGAGCACCCAGTTCTCTGAACCACTGAGCCATCTTTCTAGCTCATTTTTGCTTTGTGAGTCACATCTTGTTCTGTAGCCTAGGCCGGCCTAAAATCAATACCTTCTGCCTCAGTCTCCCCTGAAGAAAAAGAAAAGATATGGATTTTATCCACTTGTATTAAATCTTGGTTGGCCCAGTGACTTAACAGAATTCCGATAAACAATGTTCCATGTTAGTTCCAGGTTAAGCTTAATAAGTCCTAAGTTACCAGATTAAAAAAATAACTAATTACCCTATTAAGAGGTCCTGATTAGGGGCTGGAGAGATGGCTCAGAGGATAAGAGCACTGGCTGCTCTTCCAGAGGTCCTGAGTTCAATACCCAGCAACCACATGGTGGCTTACAACCATCTATCTATGAGAACTGATGCTCTCTTTTGGTGTGCATGTGTACATGCTGACAGAACATTGTATACATAATAAATAAATCTTTTTAAAAAAAGAGGTCCTGATTATACCCAGCCGGGCATTGTGGTGCACGGCTTTAATCCCAGCACTCAGGAGACAAAGACAGGCAGATTGCTGTGAGTTTGAAGCCAACCTGGTCTACACAGGGAGTCCAGTACAGCCAAGACTAAACCAAGAAACCTAATCTCCACAATTAGGGAATGCCTAGACATGAGTGGAGCCAAAGCAAGCCTCAAATAGACCCAGATGAGTGCAAGGGTATGGTAATTTGGCTGTTTCAGAATCTGTTGTAATGTTGCCATGCCAATTTATTGTGTAGCCAGAAAACTGGGCTAGTCTCGGACAGAAGGTTCTTGTACACTGGTTGGTATTTGCTAAGGATGAGATGAGCAAGATATTTATGGTACTCATACATCTAATGCTTTTTTGGGGGCTGATCACAAAGTCTCTTTTGTGGCTTCTCTTATGTTGTGAGGTACCTACTACTAGAGAAGACTGCTGCGACATAGATTTAAGCCAATAGAATTCTTTAATAGCTGGCTGGCGACTACACTGGGTGTTTAGGATCCTAGCATAGCTCTGAGTCTAACAGTGAGCTTTTAAGCACACACACAAATCATATTCTGGGTCAACATACTTCAGTTAACAGGAATGGCTAGTAAAAGCTGAACTACTGAAGCCAAAGAACAAGTTGAGTACATTTGGAGACTTCCAGAACAACGAACTTTGATGGAGTAGGTCTTTGTTTTCATTTTGGCGGGTGGTGCTGTCTATGTGCTGAGTTTTATGGCCTAAATGGTACTTCCCTCATGGAGTCAGTCGAGCTAGGTTGTGGGGCCCTTTTATACCTTCATGGCTAGCTTGCGGCTCTACATAGCACATTGGTCTCATGGTAATATGAATGATAATCACAAGAGGAAGGTACTATTTCTAAGGCTGGGTTTATAACATTCTAAATTTTCTAGCCACCCCCCAGTTTTTCAAGATAGGCTTTCTCTGTGTAGCCTTGGCTGTCCTGGATTTCCTTTGTAGACCACGCTGGCCTCACAGAGATCAACCTGCTTCTGCCTTCCTAAGTGCTGGGATTACAGGCATATGCCACCACACCCAGCAATCCCCCCCACAACTTTTTTTGATACAGGTTCTCACTGTGTAGTTGTGGCTGTCTTGGAAGAGGCTGATCTTAAATTCAGAGATCCACCAGCAGCTGCCTCCTGAGTGGTGGGATTTAAAGGTGTGCTCCACCACAGCTGGCCCGAATCACAGTTATTTCATCAAAGTAGTCATAGGTTCAGTATGAGGCATGGCAAATACAGAGGGGAATGGGAGGGATTTGATAATGGTGATTTTTTGTTTGTTTAAAAGTTTTGTTTATGTATTTTAGGTTTACAGGTATAACATCTGCATGTACAGATGTTGCATGTCAGAAAAAGGCATCAGATCCTGTAATGGTTTTGAACCATCATATGTTTCAGTATCTCTGAAAGAGCAGCCAGTGCTCTTAGTCACTGAGCCATCTCTTCAGACCCAATGATGGTGATAATTTGAAACAATTTACAAGTCAACAGTAGAACTGACCAGCTGGGTCCACCTAGATTTCAGAATCATGAGGTTTTTGTTGTTTTGTTTTGTTTTTTTGTTTTTAAGACAGGGCCTCTCTACATAGCCCTGGTTGTCCTAGAACTCACTATGTAGACCAGGCTGACCTCAAACTCAGAGATTCACCTATCCCTGCTTCCTGAGTGCTGAGAATGAAGGCATATACCACTACTCTTATTTTTTTTTTTTAAGAGCAGGGTCCTTGTAGCCCAGGGTAGCCTTGAAGTCCTTATAAAGCTGAGGATGACCTTGAACTTCTGATCTTCCTGCCTTCAACTCCAGAGCATGTTCTGTTTCTTCTGGGAATTAAATCCAGGATTCATGTTTACTAGGCTAAACTACCACTCAATCTACATACATCCCTAGTCCTGAAGTTGTTTATTATGAAGCAAATTGGAAGAAAAATTAGTACTTAAAAGTAAGACATTGCTAAAACAAAGTTCTAAAATGTATTGGGCCAGAAAATGGCTTAGTTGTGATATACATATATATATATATATATATATATATATATATATATATATATATATATATATATATATAT